TATGGCCTGCTCGATCTAGTCACTCAATAAACATTTATTAGGTACCTTCTATGTGCCAGGCACTGTGTTAAGTGTTGGGTATACAAATACAAAGACAATCTCTGCTTTCAAGGAACAGTGCTGAGCTCCTTCTTTAAATAGAGGGCCTGGAGCCCATAGCCCAACCTTCCAATCAGAGGGACAAAGAGTACTGAGGAGATGTGAGTACAAGTGAATACCAGGCAGATTCAAGGAAGACCTGATGGAGACTTCCAAAGAAGTCCAAAAGCTGTATGTTGTCTTCAGTCAAGTCCAACTCCATGATCCCTTTTGGGGTTTTCTTGGCAAAGATACTAGAGTGATTTGCCATTTTCCTCCCCTGTGGATTAAGGCTAAGTGATTTTCTCAGGGTTATACACCCAGTAGTTGTCTAAGGCCAAATTTAAACTCAGTTCTTCCTGACCTCCGGCCCAGCGCTCTGTCCACTGAGCCACTTAGCTACCTCAAAAGTAGTATAGCTGGTGGGAAATGGGGAAATGCTCATGCTGAATATCTCACCATAGGACTTAGCCCCTTACCCCCATTGGTGAGTTCCTCCTAGAACCTTCACTTTATGGACAGGCCCACAATGGCCTCCTCTCATTCCACTCCTACCTTCTTCTTGACTTTCTAGACATCAAACCATATCCCTGTGCCTGGTACCTTCATTTTCACCTATTCCACCCTACTTCCCAACTTTTCAGATCCCTTAGCACAGTGCCTGGAACATAACACTTAATAAGTTTTTCCTCAGATTTCTGAGCATGAAGCCAAGATGGCAGAGTAGGGAAAGCACTCATCTGAACCTTCCTGACATAGCCCTCCAAACAATTTTAAAATAGTCCCTCAAACCTCTGGAGTGGGAGAACCAACAAAAAATCAGAGCGAGACATTTATTGTTAGGTTCTCTGCTAAGCAGGGTCATTTAGGTGGTACAGTGGATAGAGTACTGGGCTTGGAGTCAGGAAAACCTAAGTTTACATCTAGCCTCAAAAACTTCCTAGTTACCCTGGGTAAGTCACTTAACCTCTGTTTGCCACTGGAGAAAGAAATGGCAAACCACTCCGGTATCTTTTCAAAGAAAATTCCATGGACAGAGGTCCACAGGGGTCAAGAAAAGTTGGACAGGATGGAAAGGACTGAACAGCAACAACGCTTCCAAACACTGGAAATGCAAAGAAAGGTAAAAACTATCTCCCCACTCCAAAAGAGATAATGCAAATAATTAGGTGCTTACAAGAGATACTCAGAATAGATGGAAGGAAATCTCAGAAGGGAAGACAGTTTCTGGGGGACTGGGAAAGGCTTTCTGCAGTAAAGATAACAGATGCTAAATGGTGGAGAGGAGGAGGAAGTACAATCTAGGCAGGGGGGAGAGTTAGTATAAAAGAATAGAGTTCCAAGTGGGAGGATTAGCAAGTAGGTCAAGGTAGCTATATACATGAGTAGGTAGACAAGAATAAAATGTCAAAAGGCTAGAAGGATCCAGGTAATGAAAAATCTTAAATGCCAGAGGAGTTTGTATCTGAACCTAGTTGTAAGAGAGAAACCACTGGCATTTACCAAGTAGGTGAGTGAATGTTAGATCCATGCTTTAGGAAAATCACTTTGGCAGCTGAGTGGTAGATAGAATTAGAGACAGAAAGACCAATCAGATGGCTATTGCAACTTCAGATGAAAGGTGATGAGGGCTTGAACTAGGGTGGTACCTATGGGAGTGAAAAGAAGGGGACATATACAACAGCTGTTGTAAAGGTAGAAACACTTAGGTTTCACAGTGGAATGGATATGTGAGCTGAATGAAAGTGAGGAAGACACTGAGGTTCTAAACCTAAAACACTGGGAGGATAGTTAGAAGACGGGAAGGTTTGGGGAGAAGGTAATTAATTCTACTTCTTGAATTTGAGATACCTACAAGACTTCTAGGTTGATATGTCCAAGAGGCATTTGGTGATGAGTTATCTGCATCTATGAAAAGTTTTGAAGACTCATTATGGCTGAAAAACTGTGTGTATAAATTTGAGTACAATAATAGCTGACATTTATATATAGCTCTTAAAGGTTAACACAACATTTTACCTTTATAATCTCCCTTGATCCTCACACCAGTCCTGTGAGATAAGTGCTAGAAATGTTGCTATACCCATTTTCCAGGTGTAGAAACAAATGTTCAGAGCTGTAGGTATCTAAAGCAGGATTGGAACCAAAGAATTCCTGTTACCAAGTGCATCATTCTTTCCATTATACCATACTGCTTTGGCAGTTATGACCACTCATTTGAGCAATGTTCAATGTTCTGTTGTCACCTAACATAATTTTAATTATAGGGGCCCTTCAAACCTCAAACACTCATTCACATACCTTATAAAGTGGTTTGGGAAGGAATTACATGAAGAGGAGAAATAACTTTTTACCCCCATGGGAAAAAGCACTGGAGAAAGCATTCCTTAGCTGAAATAAAATATTTCTAAATAGACATGAAATGAGATAATAACGGTCAACTAATAGTTCTTAGTAGCTTCTGGCAGGTAGCATTTCAGCATTTGTCATGATGGCAACTAATACTTAAATGACCCAGTTCAGGGAATAATCTATCATTAGGTCTTCGAGCTTCTTTGATGTCCACAACAACAGAAAGATATTAAAAAAACAAATAAGCACGAAAGAAGAGCCATAGAAAGTCAACTGAGTACATGTTTGACTGCATTGGAAACTATCCTGTTTATGGAAATCTTTGAGTAACTAAAACAGGAAAATTCTGAAGGTTGCTGCCACTTGCAATTAAAGGGTGTGTTAAGTGTATAAAAAGTTGTATTTTTACTAGAAACATTCTGAGTTTTATCTTCCTGTTTTGACTACAGGCCTTCTGACGAAGGGCCTGAGGTGTTATAAATTATCCCATTACTCACTCTCCTCAGGTATCCCTGCTGGACAGAGCAGGAAGGAAGTAAATCTTGGAGTCCTGCACTTATATTCTTTAATCACACACATGCTTGCCCTTCAAAGTAGTAAATCATTGTCTTTTCCTGGTCTGCCATGATTCATGCCTGAAACAGAGAGGAGAGGAGACAAGCTCTCAGAAATGCCATGCCAAAGGAATAATAACTTTATATGTTTTTCAGTAATCATTAGGCACACCAATGCTACATGTTTTTCAAGTTGGCATTTGGATAAGTGTATCATTCCAAGGGCCAATAGTCCATTCTATGGATATACTTCACATATTATTGCTTTGCAAACTAAACATTTCCAGACTCAATGCCAATTTTTAAACTCCATTAAATCTTAACATCTATATCAAGTTAGATAACTTGGAGATGTCTTCAATTGGTGGAACTGGCCAACTATTGATGCCTATTTTCTTATAAACATCACTAGGCAGAAATATGATCAATCACATGTTTTAAGATGGGATCCAAGTCTTTAAAATACTGTGTCAAAATTACACAAAGAAAAGAATTAAGTGCAAAGGTACACCAGAGAAATATATCTCTGAAAAAATATCCTGAGGGTTTCTAGTCTTCTATTTATCATTTATGATACACAGATATAATATATGTGCTTAATGTAGATCAATTGATTTACAAGCATTTATCAAGTTTCTGCTATGTTCTAGGTACTGTGGTAAGCACTTGGGGGTGCAAAGACAAAAGTGAAGCCTGTTCTCAAGGAGCTTACAATCTAATGTGTGTGTGTGTGTGTGTGTGTGTGTGTGTATACACATATACATGTGTGCATACATACACATATATACATATAGATAGATAGATAGATAGATAGATAGATAGATAGATAGATAGATAGATAGATAGATAGATAGATACACACACACATCACTTTGTAGGGTTTGAAGAATGGAGGATCAGCAAAGGCTTCTTCATAAGACATTATGGTTAGGAATAGTCAATGAAAGGCTGAAAGACAGTCAAGTAACATTTATTAAATGCCTACTGTGTGTTAAGCACTGAGGATACAAAGGAAAGCAACATACTGTCCCTGCTCTCAAGGAGATCATAGTATAATAAGAGAGACAACATGCAAACAGCTAAGTTCAAACAAGACATAGGAAATAATGTACTAAGAATAAGGAGGACTAGAAAAGGCTTCCTGCAGAAGCTGGGACCTCAGCTGAGACTTGAAGGAAATTAGGTAAGCCAGGAGGTAGAGAGGAAAGGGGAGAGTATTCTATGCAAGAGGGCAGCTAGTGAAGAGCTCAGAGTTTGGAGAGATAAAGGGTTTTATTTGAGGAACAGAAAGATCAGCATTACTGGATCACAGAGTATGTGAAGGAGATTAAGTTGTAAGAAGACTAGAAAAGTAGGAAGGCACCAGGTTATGAATGGCTTTAAAAGCCAAACAAGATTTTATATTCAATCTTAGAGGTAATGAGGAGATATTGGAATTTATTAAATGGCAATGTGAGGTGAGGGTTAGATCTTTATTTTAGGAAGATCATCATAGACTGAGATTAAACCCCCTGTTTTGGTTACGTAGGCACACATTCAAAATGTTTGCTCTTTTATGTGGATGGACATTTTTTTCTCCCCGTTAGGACTTTCCCTCTCAATACACAACACACTAACTGTCTGGCTTCCATGTGTCTTCTCTGGCCAAAAGAGAAGTGCAAGGTCAGTGGTTTTAGTGACATTTAAATATCTATAGTTGTAGAGATAAGAGCAGCTCCTAGTTCTTGCCAAGCAGATGCCCAAAGCCAAAGGAATAAGGCCAAGTGACAGAAAAGATTTCCTGCAAATTTCACTAAACTTTTTTGTTGAGTTTGCACCATAACTATCAGCTGCTCTTAAAAAAAAACTGGCTTCATCAGATTTGATATTAGAAAAATAACAGAATAATAACTATGCCATGGTCTCCCAGCTATAACACTGGTGATATTGATGAGTGAGTGCTAATGAGCACTGTGGCCACATGGTTTGGTTTTTTTTTTTATTTGCCTCTTTGACCTTAATTTTATTTCATTCTAGGGGCTGGAATCTAGTTCATCTTGGACTGAGAAATGCATTATGAAAACCATTCAACAAGGACCAGATCAGGCTGTCTCACTGTTTATATCAAGAGCCTTTTCAGCAAAATGACCACAATACAACACCAGATTCAAAAATGACTGAGAGGAATCATTTGGAGAATGTGGGAGAATAAACAGCTAGAGCATGTGGGAATATGTATATGATCACAGATCATTTAAAAAGAAACTACTGTCCTCCATTTAGATAGTACAATGTAATTATTAACAGAAGGGAAAAAATAAGTACTCTACTATTTTAACACTGTTGCATTACATACGGGTTTTAAAAGATTCCTAATATGAGTCTATGTGTCTATATTTTAGGAGGCAAAGCTCTTGTAAAGAATATAACGAATTACAGCAGTGAATTCAAATATCTAAGAAGGAATCTGTTCTCTAGATTTCTTTAGAGATTCATTAAAATGAAAGAATGTCTTTTGACTTACCAGTTGTACTCTGGAAATAGAGTTGAAATAAAATCTTAACTTGGATGTGTGTACACACAAAAATATATACTCATCTATAACTACCTATATATGTATATGCATATACATATAGAAATGTTCCCCAGCAAGCCTATCTTAGCTCATGTTTGACATCTAGATGACAGCATATGAATATGACACATTACCCTTTCTCACTGTTAATCATAAGAGTTCATAGTGATATGAATCCCACTATAAAATATGAGTCCTGTGCTACTCAACCCCAACACTGCCATGAATTATTTTTAAGGGGCAGACTTTTTTAAACATACTAGTCTTGTTTTTACCACCAACTGTAAAATCTATATGAATGGAAGGAAACTAAGCATGGTCAACATTTCCCTAGCTATCACCAGGATTGGCAGCAAATTTCCCTAGACTCTAAGAACAATACAACATAACCCGCAGATGACCGTGCTCATCAGATATAAAGTGTCCAAAGATTAAGTCATAGCAGTAAATACTTGAATCATATCCCAACTTCACTTAAATATAAATTCAAGGAAGTATTTTAGCAAAAAAAGAATGTGTATGTCAGAAAAATAAGTGACAGTCTTTTCAAAAATGCTCTTTTAGAAATCTCAGGGATTTGTGCTATCCCCTAGCAGTGGATACAAATTTCTAATGTTTTCAACACAATTCTAATGTATATTAGTGGCTCTGCTCATCTTTTATCTCTATGGAGAGTCTAAGGAGCCCAGGAAATGATTCAAAGAAGGAGACAGAAGGAACAGAAAGCATGAGCCTTTCTACTGGAAGCAAAATTGTCCTCTATCTCCAGGATAGAGAAGACATGAGCTGTGACTTGCCCTGATCTTCCCTTTGCTCTAATCTTGTAAGCTTCCAGAGGAGATGAGCTTGGAATGTGGGAAAGTGTAGGGAAGTGGGTAGAGGGTGGGTGCTCGAGAAGAGAAGGAATTCCTCCATTTCCTTATACCACAAACAGTTGATGGCAACTTGAGATGGAAGTGCATGGGAGAGTTAGACTCAAGTCCTGAAAGGCCAGATTCTGAAGGCACTTTCCTAATCTAAGAAAGAGCTGGGACACTGACAGATTTCCAGCAGAAGCACATGGCATAAGCTGACATCTATGTTGATGTGGTCCAAAATGGGAAATTCATGGACAGTGCTCCTGAACTTCAATATCTTATGTTGAGAAAGGAAAGCCCTTTGTTCCTGGGATTCATGGTCCCAGAATTTAACCTTCTAATCAAAGAGGATGGTTAGCACCAGCCTTGGGAGTTTGCCTTGACGGTAGCCTCAAGTTTGAGAGTCCCCAGATGTGAAATCATTCAAGTCCAAGAGTTCAGAAATCTAAAATCTGAGAAATGAAGATGAATGCTTACATGCCAAGCAGCATCCTTTTTGAGAAAGGAGAGGTATATACACATAGTTACTTAACAGCATCTGGCCTTGGAGAAAGAAGACCATTGCTCATGCGTGCCTACTACATCTGAAGGGCTAAAGCCAAATCAGGGATGTTGGAGAGATCAGAGATGGGCCTTTGCCACTCTCTCTCATGGTGAGGTATTTCCAACACATATAGGGTCACAACCCACAGTTTAAGAAGCACTGAAAGGGTCACAGGGAGAAAAAGTTTAAGAAGCCCTGATTTAGAAAGCAGTGGTCCCAAAAGAAGGGGTACTACAATTTAGGAGTTCCAAAAAGTGAATTTCTTTTCCCACATAGTCGAAGACCTCAACAGATTCTCTGTGGGATTTAAGGGAAAATTACTAAAATATTGGAACTACTATGTGCGTGTGTGTGTATGTGTTTTAAGCTGTCTATGAGTTTTTGAGTATTGTTTGAGTTTTCTCTATCTGTTGACATGGTCCACTGAGTTCTTTGCATCTTCTGGAAGTTTCATGGGATTCAATAAAGGTTATCTTACCCAATATGCATTAATTACATTGAGTGTGTACTTGGGGGCTTGGGTTACTGTTTTTCCATGTTTGGAGAATCCTAGACACAAGACATTTTACTTCAGAGATTACCCCAGAACAAATACTAAGGTTGTGGAATAATTGCTGAAGACAGAGGACAACCCTCTGGGTTTGGTCCCTGAGGCTGAAAATAATCCATAAGAACCCAGAGTCTTTGAGGGGCCTGTGCCTCAGGTGAAATTAATTGAAGCTTATTCTCATTAGTCAAGAGGTCCATTTAATCAAGTGATTAAGTGTATTTGGTGTCCAAACTTAAAATGGAAAGAATTAAAAATCAGTTGTATTTTATATTTTAATTTAATAGCTATAATGAGTTTTATAGGTATGAACAGAAGAAATTAATATTTTAACATGTCTTATCAATCACTTGCAAATATCTGTACATAAAGATAGCTCTCATTTATGTTGTACATACAAAGCACTTTCCTCATGGTCATACTACACAAGGGAAGACTGCAAACAAAAAATGCTCTGTTTAGCATTCAAAGACTTTCAAGACCTAGCCCCACCTACCTTTCTAGTCTTCTTACATCTTACTCCCCAACATATACTCTTCCATCCAGTGTTACTGGCCTCTGGGCTGTTCTACAAACAAGACATTACATCTTTTGGCTTTGGGCATTTTCTCTGGCTGTCCCCAATCCCTGGAATGCTCTCCCTTTTCTGCTCTGAATACTGCCTTCCATGACTTCCTTTAAGTCCCACCTCCTACAGGAAGCCTTCCCTAACCCCTCACTGCTCTCCTTCTTTTAATTATTTCCTATTTATCCTGTATGTAGCCCATTTTTATATATTTGTTTGCATGCTGTCCCCCCATTAGATTGTAAGCTCCTTGAGGACAGCAACTGTCTTTTGTCTCTTTTTGTAACCCTAGAGCTTAGGAAAGTGCCTGACACATGGTAGGCATTTAATACATATTGATTGAATTGAATGGAACTAAATAATCCTTTCCTTATACACAAATAAAGCTAGTCTGAAATAGGTTAAATAACTTCCAAAAGGCCATATCTAGTAAGCAGTAGAAAAAAACCCAGGTCCAAATTCCTTGCTCTTTCCATGATACCATGCTGATTTCTATATACATGAAACTACAAATAATAGAAGAAGATTAATACTACCATCATCATCATCATTAGACACACTAGATTTATTACACTTCTCTGGAGGATACAGAACTGTTCTGGATACCACAGAGTCACCAATTATGACTAAGATGTAACTTTTGTCCTTAAGTCAGCTGACATCTAATCAGAGAAATAAAATATACTACTAGATAACCTAGGGCAACTAGATGGTATAGTGGATAGAGGGCCAGCTCTGAAATCAGGAAGACCTGAGTTCAAACGCAGCCTCAAGCACTTACTAGTTATGTGATCCTAGGCAAGTAAATCAACCCATTTGCCTCAGTTTCCTCATCTGTAAAATGAGCTAGAGAAGGAAATGGCAAGCCCCTCCAGTATCTTTGCCAAGAAAACCCCGAATGGGGTCACAAAGAGCTGGACGTGACTGAGTAACAACAACCAGATAACCTAAACAGCATAAAGGTACAAGTACTCAAGAAGTATAAAGATAAGCATGGAGTCAACAGAATGAGAATCTGAGCCGTCCATAAAATGATATTTTAAAAGTCTCATATTTGTTTTTTAATTTTATTTGTTTTTTATTTTCAACATTCACTTCCATACACTTTTGAGTTTTAAATTTCCCCCCCTCCATTCCTTCCCCCACCCCAAGATGGCATGCAATCTGATATAGGCTCTACATATACATTCATATTAAACATATTTTCACATTAGTCATGATGTAAAGAAGAATTAGAACCAATGGGAAAAACTATAAGAAAGAAGAAACAAAAGAGAGAGCAAATAGTATGCTTCATTCTGCATTCAGACTCCATAGTTCTCTCTCTGAATATGGACAGCATTTTCCATCATGAGTAAAAGTCTCATATTTAAAAGCAGATCTCTCTCTCTCTCTCTCTCTCTCTCTCTCTCTCTCTCTCTCTCTCTCTCTCTCTCTCTCTTTCTCTCTCTCTCTCTCTCTCTCTCTCACACACACACACACACACACACACACACACACCCTCTGTAATCAGAGCAAAAGCATTGAATCTTGAAGTTACCAAGATTTCAACCCAAAATTTTGTGGTTTTCAATGCAGTGGTTTGAGAACTCATTCACATTTCTTTACATAAACAAAATATCCCAGATAATGGTCTCCTGACACTGAGGAGTCACAGCAGGGGCATTGAATTAGGCCAAGTGCTCTACTGATCTATTAATCTACTATTCCTATTTTTTTTTCATAAAGTACCTTAAGGGTTTAACAGGTGAAGATTTTCTCCACCATATGGTTATCTGGCTCCATGCACTAGTTAACACATTGTTGATTTAACAGCAAAAGTGCTATACTTCAAACTACCACTGGATGAACAGAGAGGCATTAGGTACTTAAAAATAAATTAGAAAGCTATGTCTTATAATATAACACCACAGATCTCAAGCGCGGAATCATACCTGAGAATACCCTTCCAAGAGAAACAGGGAAAGAGCCAGACAGAGAAAAAGATAGGTACGAGGCATTTATAAAGGAGTAACCAAGAATGAATAGACACAGGAAAAGTATTCTCTTCATTGAATTCAGCTCTGAATGTAAACCAAAAGCAAACCTAGAAGATTTTAACCCCAGATGTTAAAGATCACTATGCAATGCTCGTGCCAGTTAAAGGGAACTCCCTCTGGAAATTATCAGAATCTGCCCCACAGGCACTTTAAGAGAACTGCCAAAAACAGTTCAAAGTCCAGCTGCCGCCACTGTAGTTGTGAGAGACTAACCAAAAATATAGAGAGAAACTTTAAAAAAGTCTGTGGCTGGTTGGGAAACCAGAAACTGAAGGAGCAGTGGAGTTCAAATAAACCATTTCTCTATGCTCGAGCAAGTGTTGTCTACATTACAACTCAAGTCTCTCAACTCAGGGCAATGAGCAAATGAGAAAATTGAGCCTGTATTAACTTAGTTCTCCACCCCTCAAGGGCCATTTATAAGTATAGTTCGCCTTTAGGAACAGGAGTAAACCCAAGCACAATTTATAGATGCGCCAGGCCTGATACCATCAAGATGACAGAACAGAGTATCCAATAGTAGATAAGGGATTATACAGAGAGGTAGAGTTTCATACAGATGTGGTTGGCATATCATTTTGTTTAAAAAAACAAACAAAAAACCTCAGTATCGAAAATAAAACCAGTTACCAGTAAGAGAAAAAAATGAGAAGATAGTAAACTTCATTCATTTCGTTTGTCCTTTTTCTTTCTGCTCAATTCAATTGAATAAATTTTTATCAAGAGCCTACTATATTAAGGGTACTGCTCTAAGACTCACTCCTTCTCTTGTTTTCCCTTCCTTTTAATGTTATATTTGGTGGCATATGAAAGAAATTATATACATTAGTCAAATACAAACAGAACATTTTGCTTGGATTTAAGGGGAGTGGTTTTTTTTTTCTAGTTTAGAGTTTGCTTTTAATTTTCTGGCTCATTTAGTCATGCATACCTAAGTTTTGTTATAGAGATTTCTTTAAAGTTTCACACTGGGATGGTATGAAAGAATTTGATTCCTCTGTAGTCAGGAATCCCAATATTGAAACCAAGTCTATTTGAGCTCTAAGCTTTCTGGAAGTCCACCTAGGCCATAAGTATTATCTATATTTTTTGTATTTTTATATGTGTAAAAAATGCATTCCCTGATAAAACATAAGCTCCTGAAGAGCAGGAACTATTTCTCTTTTTGTCTTTGATGCCCAGCACAGTCCCTGGCACATAGCAGACATTTAATAACTACTAGTTGATTGATTAATTCCTAGCCTCCATTAAAGTTCTACTTTTGATACTTCAAGAGAACACAGATTCTCAATCTATGCCAATGGAACATTATGGCATCTCCCCCACACTGGGAAAGACTTAACTCTGGGCCCACCAATCAGTCAGTCAATAAACATTTATTAAGTACCTACTATGTGTTAGTCGCTGGGAATATAAAGGAAGGGAAAAGTCAGCCCCTCTTCACAAGGAGTTTAATGGAGGAGATAACACGCGAACAACTATGTACAGACAAGCTATATACAGAATAAATTGTAAATAAACAACAGAGGGAGGTCCCTAGTATTGAAGGGGATTAGGAAAAGCTTCCTATAGAAGGTGAGATTTTAGCTGGGACTTGAAGAAAGCCAGAGAATCCAGGAGGTAGAGATGAGAAGGAAAGATATTTAAGGCATGGGAGATAAGCAGTGAAAATACTCAGAGTTGGGAGATGATGCATCTTGTGTGAGGAACAGAAAGGAGGCCAGTGTCACTGAATCACAGATGTTCATCGACCAAGAGCCCATGTCAGAGGGATAAATTTTTGGCCACAACAACAAAGTCCATCTACTAAGTTAGACAGAAAATGTGATCTACGGCAGTGTATGCCATACCCATAACACCCCCAAAATCATAGATCCTTCAAGTAGTGAAGCGTGTAATCCTGCAATTCTTTTATTTTCTTTCATAATATTCATAATATCAACCAGATAGCCAATCTCTCCTATTATTACACACTGTCTTGAATTGGTCTCAGTGTTACCAGTAATTATTTGAAAGTCTTTTTCTCTCCAAATTCCCAAAGCTCCTTGATTTCAGCAACCACATCATGCTAGTATATCATAGTGCTAGCTATACAATATGTACTCTATAAACATTTGTTGCATTCCAATGAAAATTATCTACTATATTCATCACATTAGCTCAAAGTTCAACTGATATCGATATACTGTCTGGCATTTATATTGAGTCTTGAGGCTTATATGGCACTTTATATATATTCTTTCATTTGACTCTCACAATAACCCTATGAGGGAGATGCTAATATTACCACCATTTTACAAATACAGAAAAC